TCCTCACAGGAGTCCCTCAAGGTGGGCATTTTGATGACATCTTAGAAAGGAGACAACTGAGGCTCTGAGAAGTTACAAAACTCTTCCAAGGTCCCAGAGCTATGAAGTCTTCGGGTCAGGACTGAACGCAAGTTTCTGACTCTGAGAAGGCTTTTCGAAAAGACTCCAGGGGTTTTTAACTTGCAGACAGCAAACACATCCCAATAAATCAGTGATCAATAACTTCTATCAACTGCCTCATTCAAAACCCTGATTTTATCATTTTGCTATAATTAGACTGTCCAAAGAGGAGAGAAACCCATTACAAAGTACTAATGTGGGGATCTGAAAGCTCTGGAATCAAGTGTCAAGCGAAGGAACGCTAGGAGATACCTCTGCAGCTTTGCCCGGCTGACTCTGCAGTGCCCTGTCTTGGGGTGCCGTCCGCCCTGCTCACAGGACAAGGAGAGGCCCCCGTCCTGCAGCCACGTCTGCAGTCCTTGAGCCCAGCCTCCTGACCACCCACCCTCTCTCTTGAGCACTTGGAATCCAAAAAGGGAGAGTTGGGAGCTGAGTCACTTTTTGTTTTCTCAGCTTTACTGAGACATAATTCACACGCCAAACAATACACCCGCTTCATATGCACAATTCGGTGATTGTTAGTGTATTTACAGGGTTGTACGATCATCGCATCACCACAATCAATTTTGGAACATTTCTCATCACCCGAAAAAGGAACCCTGCACCCGTGGGAGCTGAGTCACTTTTATGGCCCAAGTTCAGAGCGATGTTTCTCAAAGTATGGTCCTCAGGACCACCTACACCTGAATCGCTGAGGGGGCTCTCAAAAATGCCCATTTATGGGCCTATTTCAACCTACTGAGGGAGACTCTTTGGAAGGGGCCCCAGGAACCTGTATTTTAACAAGTGCCTGGGGATTCCTATGTACATTCAGCTCTACCAGGGGGTCTTTGCCTGTTTTGTGCCATGGACCCTGTGGCAGCCAGGTGAAGCCTACGGACTCCTTAGAATACCATTTTTAACGCAGAAAATAAAACATATAAGACTGCAAAGAAAACCAATTACACTAAAACATACTGGTCAAAATATTTTTTCAATGCATTTGTGATATTGTAATCTATTGCTTCTTTGCCAATGAATGCAATAACAGACCCAGCCATGGGCGAAATACCTACTGTAATTTTTAAGGAAAGAAGAACCCAAACAATCTTCTGAAATATCTTGCATACCTGAAATGTAATATGAACATATTTGTTGATGTCTTTTGGTGACGAAATCCCAGCTAGTGCTACCACTACTGTGGCTTGTTGCCTGTGATTCATAATTGAGCAAAAGGTAAATTCTACTCTGAGGTTTATGAAAATAAAGATGTCATTTTTTTTTTCTCACCCGAATTCATGGTCTGAGACCACAGAGCAGGAAGGAGAAGGGGCTGGGATTCCACCCCAGGCATCTTGGTCTGGGGGCCTCTGCCTCAGCAGTACAGAGAATGCAAGGGACTGAAAATCTGTCTCCCCCCACAAATTCATATACTGAAACCCTAATCCCAATGTGATGCTATTTGGAGGTGGGGCCTTTGGAAGGTAATTAGGTCCCAGATGACCAATTGCCCAAAGGCCAGAGAGCCTGCCCTTGCCCTTGCCCTCCCTTTCTGCTGTGTGAGGATGTAACAAGAACGTGGCTGTCTGCAACCGGGAGGAGGGTCCTCACCAGACCCCAGCCAGGCTGGCACCCTGATCTCAGACCGCCAGCCTCCAGAACGCTGAGAAATAAATAAGCCTTGTTTCAGCCACCTGGTCTGTGGTATTTGGTTATATAGCAGCCCAGGCTAACACAAAGCACCTCAACCAATATGCCCCAGACACAGCGTGAATGAAAAATTCATAGAGCAAACATCTAATCATAAAAACAACACAAAAATATTAGATAGACGGTCCCTGCACTTTTAGGACTAAGAATTCACATAACATTATGAGGCAGGTCAAAGAAAGACATCTCCTATGGCTCTTTTGGGGAAACGTACCGGAACTATTAATAAAGTAGAGAAGAAATTGCAGAGGAATTCCATAAGGAATGCTTCCGATGGCCGCATCTTTCCATCGATATTGATCATCTTTGGGACTTCTGGGACAAGGCTTATAGCGGCTTTGAAGAAAGCATCAGCTGCAAAACAGAAGAAAAGTCCATGTATGAAAACTCTGGAAATTTAGGGTTGGCTTCCTTCTTCACATGGCCTGGAGGCCAGTCCTGAGTTACCTGGAAGTCAGGCCACGCCAAGGGCCCAGTACAGCTAGCAGGGCCCAGCAGAGGGTCTCTACAAACCATGATGGACTTGGTGGAACATTCGCTGGACAGGGCACTGCTTCTGCTCACAGAACCTCCGTTAAATTGCCTTTAGAATAGTAAGTGGAAAAAAGTAGGTGGCAAATTTTTGCAGGAAGTCTAGAAATGCCAGCTGCCTGGGCTGAGGGCTCAGCCTGGATTGGTTCAATGAATCCTCACGTCCACCATGTGAGGAAGGTGCTGTCATCTGGCCTACTTCACAGACAAGAATAAGGTGTGGGAAGAGAAGTGGTTCGTCCTGCAAAAGCACCTTGTGATAGAGCTGCACCTCAACCCTGGTTATTCTAGTGCGCACCATTTTTATTAAAGAAATAACCATCAGGGCCAGGCACAGTGGCTCAAGCTCATAATCCCGGCACTCTGGGGAGGCTAAGGCCGGAGAATCACTTGAGGTCAGGAGTTTGAGACCAGCCTGAACGAGAGTGAGACTCCATCTCTACAAAATATAGAAAAAATTAGCCAGTCGTGGTGCTGTGCACGTGTAGTCCCAGCTACTTTGGAGGCTGAGGCAGGAGGATCGCTTGAGTCCAGGAGTTTGAGGTTGCTGTGAGCTATGATGACACCACTGCACTCTA